CGCCTCTTGGCATCCCGCCCAAGCCCACCCCTGCCCCCGACCCCACCCCAGGCCCAGCCCGCTCGGTCCCACGCCCCGCCCACGTCCTACTTGCTCCTGCCCCCCGCCCCGGCCCCCGCCCCCCACCACCGTCTCCCACCCCGCTCACGCCCACCCCACTCCTCGCCGCCCCGCACCTTGCCTGCACCCCCCGCCACGCCCAGCCCTGGCCCACCCCGCGCCCGCCGAGCGCCATTACTTGAGGATCTTCAAGGGGATGGAGGTGTCCTTGATGGCCACAATCACGCCGCCGTGGTCCAGGTAGAGGATGTGGTGCTCCTCCTCGAACACCTGCAGGAGGAAGCGCGTGCTGCTGAGCCGGATCTGAGGGGGCCAGGCCGTAGGGCCTGGAGCTGGGCGGAACGCGGGTCCCCTCCCCAGGCTCGGTCTGCGGGAGGACTGGGGTGACGTCGCGCTCTAGGCCGCGGACGCCAGGGAGAGGCTCGCGGGGGAGCGCCACCACCCTCCTCCAGTGAGACCCACGCACGCAAAGTGCCAGCCACGCGGAAAAGAGAATGGCCCTGGACAGCGGGAGGGCGCTTGGGATAAGCAGCTTCAGCGGCAGCAAACCCCAATTCCAGTGCCGCCTCCTCCAGGAGGCCCGCGGCCTCTGGGCGCCTCTGGCCCCGCCCTGACACTTATCACCGGGACCTGGCTTTGTCTCTTCCAGCCAAAAGGCAGGGATGCTCTGAGTCCCCTCTGTGCCCAGCACAGCTCGGCTGGGAGCCCTGGTGCCCAGGGAGCATGTGTGGAATGAATGAACAAATGAGTGGGTGAGTGAATGAATGAGTCTTCAGGGGACAAAAGGCGAGAGCACAGGGACAGGGCTCCCAGGGACGGGATCTCCGTGTGGTCTCACTTGTCTGCAAACAGGAAGCTGAGGCTCGGAGTGTGAGGCGTGGGCCAAGGCCTCCCAGGCAGTTGAGGCGGGTGACCCCTAAGTCCCACCAGGACAGGTGTGGGTGGCCAGCGTTTGGACACTGCCCTGTGAGCGGACATGACCCGCCCTGCACCTCTCCTTCCCGGAAGTGGCCTCCCATCTCCCACCCTGGGCCAGGGGTCTCCCAGGCCCCTGGCCCCTCGGCAGGAAGCGGGGAAGCCCAGGAGGAGGCGGGGAGAGCCCCCGGGAGCCCTCTCCCCAGCACCCAGCCCGGGTAGCGAGCGTATCCGTCTCAGCACGTTCAGCGAGGGGACCGACCATGGAGGTGTCCACCCGAGCCGGCTCTGGGGCCTGGAGGGGCCGCTGTGGCCATAGCTCAGAGCAGATGAGTCAGAGACACCGGGGAACTTGGCTGTCCCTTCCAACAGAAGCGGATCTAAGCGGGCTGCACCTGTGCTATTCCCGAGGGATAGCAGGGAAGGTCCTGGCTCTGGGACACAGTTCTGGGGCGGCCGGGTCCGCGGGCCTCTTCTCCACCCCTGCATTCCGAGCCTGTCTGTGTTTGAGTGCTGGGTTTTCCAGGGGCCGGCAGGAGGCCCTGGGCGGACATGGACAGAGGCCCCGCCTCTGGGAACACAAGCCTTGGTGGATGCCGCCAGGCCACGGCCTCAGCCCTGATGTCCGGCAGGGCCCAGCCCCCTGCGCCCCTCTGTCCTACCAGAACCTTCCGAAGCTCCCGATGGCCCTTAGAATCGATCCAAGTCCTCCTGTGGCCTCGAGCCTTGCTCCCTGCCTCCGCCCAGCCACTCTGGCCCAGTTTCCAAACACACCTCTAGCCCTCTGCACATGCGGTTCCCCGGATGTTTTCAGCTCATTGTCACTGTCTCGCTGGCATTTCTTGCTGCTGGTGGAACTCTCCAGGAAGCAAGGGGCTTGTCTCGAATAAAGGAGAGGGGCCCTGTCATCCCGCGCCTTGGGAGGCTGAGGTGAGTGGATGGCCTGAGCCCGCAGGTTCGAGACCCGCCTGGGGAACTTGGCGAGACCTCATCTCCACAATAAATCAAAACAAAATCAGCCGGGCGTGGTGGTGTCTGCCTGTATTTCCGGCTCCTTGGAAGGCTGAGGCGGAAGGACCGCTGGAGCCCAGCGGGTCGAGGCTGCGCTGGCCGGGAGAGCCCTCCCCCCTTCCCCCCTGCCCTCCTCCCTTTCCCTCCCTCCCTGTTTAGAGCGAGCATCTATCACTTCAGGCCAAACCACACAGAGCAGGGGACCCACCAAGGCCAGCCACGACGAGCCCCTCCCTCACAGCCCCCTAACTCTGTGCCCGCAACACCTGGCTGGGGCTGCCGCCCACCAAGGACATTCAGGACTCAGGCAGGCGCCGTGCATGCGTGAGGTGCACTGCACGCACGAGCATGTTGAACGGCTGCTGCTCTGAGGCTGTTTCTCCATTTTCCAAAGGGAGACCGAGGTTCGGAGACCCACGGCGACTTGCCTGGGGCCCCGGGTCCCTGACAGCGGGTCACTGTCAGACCCCAGCCGCACCCCTTCCACCACGACTCTAGTCCGAGGACATCTCGTCCCCACGGGCAGGGCCACACTCAGGCCGGGAGGGGCTGTGTCTCATGAATGCTGAGTCGCAGGCTATGGGTCTTCTGCAACCCTATCGGTACGGGGAGCAGAGAGGGCACCTGGTGTGTGCCCGGTGTCCTCCGCCCTAACCCTTGGCTCTGAACGTGCTTGGGATAAGTATACTGCCTAGGGCTATGTTAATGGAGACAGCGCCTCCTGGACAAAGGAGGTGAGGACCTGCATGCCGATCTCGGAGTACCGTGAAGAACCAGGGTACCCGATTCTCTTTTCCATCCGCCCACACTTCCAACAGACCCTCTGTGTTGGGGGCGCTGGGACAGAAGCAGACCGGCTCCTAGGAACTCAGAGCCTCAGCCCAGGGAGAGACCCCCGAGGAAGCAGCCCACCCCCACACAGCCACTGGCACACCAGGCCTCCGCCCTCAATGCCCCGTGTCCAGCCACAGCTCGGGGGCCCAGCTGGTGGTTCTGGCCAAATGATGCCGTGTTCCCACGACACTCCAGACTGCAGTCCGCAGGCAGCCCAGGAGGGGGTCACAGGGCAGGTGGGGCCTGGGCGGTTCCTAGGAGGGGGAAGGGCACTGCAAACGTGGGCACGGCAGGTGCAGAGGCCTGGAAGGTGAGGAGAGCAGGTGTGTGCAGGGTGAGGGAAGCGTGGCTGGGGTGGGAGACCAGGGACGCATGGAGGTACGGGGGGGGCAGGCTCCGTGGCTCGGAGGCCTGTGTGACGCTGGGGAGTGACAAGAACTCGTTCCCTTCTAGAAGATTCCCCAGGTGCTGGGGGAAGCCCGAACAAGGCTCAGAGTCTCGGGGGAGGCTCCCCCAGTGTTTCGGGAGGAAGACGGGTTCCAGAGCAAAGGGCTTCTCCTCCAGGAAATAGGAGCTTCCTGTCCTGGGGCATATTCCAGAAGCGAGGCCTGCCAAGAGGAACATGGGACCCCCGGGGAGCCAGCAGGGTGGAGGGAACCACAACCAGTCCTGGGGAGCTGTTGAGAGCAGCTTCAACACCAAACAGACCCGCCTCTGCCCGAGCACCCATTCCCCGCCTTCCTGGGCTCCCCAGGGCCAAACTGTGGGAGGCGGGGCGGCTGAACCGCAGGGCCTTGGTGAAGTGGCCAGAAAGCGAGTTTCTCAGAGCCTGATCTGCCTCCGGAGGCCCAGGTGGCCATGCTGAGCGTGTGCACGACCAGGGCTTGTGCGGGACCCTCGGACACTCATCCTGGCCACGTCCTCTGGCGCTGGTCGTGTCTGCCCACCCGGAAGGCGGACGGGGGCCTCCCAGCCATCCTGGAGGCCTCAGAAGAGTAACGTCCACTCTCGTGAGCTTGGGCCTCCAGACCCCACCCTCGGGACTGCAGGGTCTTCAAACGCCCACCGCGATGGTCTCCGGTGCCTCGATGGACCCCCGAGGAGCTGACAGTCAGGCCCCTGCCCTGTCTCACACTTTCCCCGTTTCAGCCAGGGGCTCCTTGCTTAAAGCCATCCCGGGAGCCCCTGCTTCTGGAAGGCTGCACCAGCTGAACAAGACGCGCTCCGCCACTCCCAATTCCTGTTCCGAGCACCACTCCCAGACACGTCCCCACGCCTCTCATGTGATCTGGCCATGGAGAGCCGCAGAGACCACCCCGGGGCTCACGACTCGCCCTCTGGGTGCCTCTGTCCACTCTGCCCTCTGGGTGGACACTCCCTCTTTGCCCTCCCCCAAATGCAACCAACTCCAAGACTTAGCCGAAGCATCTCCCCTCCCCTGCCTCACACACTCTCACACACACACGCCCTCTGGGGCCCCTCTTCTGCGCCCCCAGCCACCACTGAGCCCCCCTCTGACCCCGCCCCCACTGTCCTTGGAAAAGGGAACAGGCACCGAGGAGGCCAGCCCTGTTCCAGCACTTAACAGATGTTCAACCTTCTTGAGTTTGAAATCCAAGCAGATTGCTGGCAAAAGTGACCACCGTGACCGTCTCCCAATCGGTTTCATGAAATCAGAAAGCCCTGTCTATCTCACCCCGTCTATGGCGTCTGCGTGGGTGGGGGGACTTCTCTAATGAACGGATAGCCGGTGACCTTTAAGGAACTTCAGACATGTTTCACTAGTTTTTGTGGAATAGACATATTAAAATACTGTAAATCTCTTCTGCCCTTTTCAAAATTCCTTGTTTCCTGCATATATTTTAAGAACGTCCAGGCTTTAAACAAGGCTGCGGGTGAACGCCGCACTTTCGGGACTGACGCACTGGTCCAGAGGTCTCCCGGGAGAGGGGCCACGCGGGGTGCTCGGGCACGTAGAAAACTGACCTAGACTGCCGCGGCTTATCTCGACCCATAGCTTAGTTCGTTAAGGCAGAAACTGTCGCTCCGGGAAGTTGGCTGACCAGCGTCAGCCAGGAAGACCTTTTTCCCCTTTTTTCCCTCGGCTGGAAAAAAGAGCAAGGTGCGCTCTCTCCTGGGGGCCTGTGGTTCGGGTCCTGGGGCAGACTGCCTGCACAGGGCGCGAGGGGCCCCGCGGCCTCCCTGCCTCGGCCTGGCCGTCTCCGTACCCACGCCGACGGTCTGAGAGTCTGAGTCCCACCGGGGCTCCACGGCACACAGAGGGACACCTCTCAGGTGGCACGCTGGTGGGAGTGGAGATCTCCCTGCAGAAGAGCTGTCTGCTTTCCCTCCCTCCTCCCTTCCTCCCTGCCTCCCCTCTGTCCCGCCCTTCTTTCTTTCTCCTCTGCCATCTTCTCCTTTGTCCCTGTGTCTGCCGTCCCTGCTGGGCGCCTGGCTTCCGGACTCCGGAAGGGGCTCCAAACCGCCTCCTTTTCTGTTCCCCACCATTTATCCCTTTTCCCAGACGCTCACGGAGACACGTCTGATGCTGCTCAGATCTGTCCTTCCCCATCAGTGGCCCCTAAAAGAACACCAGGAGTCACCCACCGGGCTTTTCAAACACAGTAGGGCACAGTCTGCCAAGGGGAGCCCTGGGCTCTAGCCGTGGGGACAGTGGCTCCGAGCTTCCGCACAAAGCCTCCCTCCGCATGGGAGGGGGCGACACAACAGATGCATCTTGTGGGAGGTGCGGCAGGATGGGGTAGGGCGCCGGCCCCTACAGGCTGGCTTACCTGCCTCCAGGTGTGTCCGCAGTCTGATGTGATGTACATCTCTTCCTTGTACTCCACCAGCTGCGAGCCCAGGTTACCTGGTCCGAAAGGAAAAGGGGCAGCGTGTTCTCAGGACCACCCAGCTTTCCCCCTCTCCCAAGATCTGAGCACAGAATAAATCCCCAAACACGGGTGGCTTGTGCCTAGGGTCCATATCTCCCACCACAGACCTGCTGCGACCACCACACTTTGGCTGTGGGTCTGCACCGCAAAGGGTCCATCAGGTGGCTCGGGCAGAGGCCGGGGGCCGGCAGAGCCGGGTGTTTCAGAGAACCCATGGATATGGTCCAAGAAGAAGCCGTGTGGAGGTTGGAGCCAGACTTGGGAGGACATGGGCCGGGTGGGTCACCATAGACTCACAGGTGGCCTCTGTCGGGCTTTAAGCTGGAGCAGGACATGGCTGAGTCTGCGTTTGGAGACAGCTCCCTGAAGACTGGATGTGGGGAACCAGAGGCAGGTCCAGGTGAGCGGGCAGGTGCACACTCAGTCACGCTCATTAAGTGTCCACTGAGTGAGTGGGCGTTTGAGAGGGATGGTGGGAGCAGCCAGAAGGCTTTGCCCCAGTGTGGGTTCACTTGAGTCCATGTCCCAGGCTACTGGGTTGGCCACCAGCCTTGAAGACCACCCTGAGGGGCTCAGACTTAACCCGGAAGGTGGTGTCAGAAGGGGAAGAACTCCCAGCCCATCGTACAGATGAGAAAACAGAGCCACGTGGGCTCCTGCAGGAAGAACAACGGCCACATGTAGAAAGAACAAGAGCACGAGCTCTGGAACATCATAGCCTGGCCGGTCTTAAACAGCATTCTGGAATGGCTGGACCGAGGCATTTTCTGGTGGGCCAGACTTGGGGCCTCCAGGGCACCCCGTGGCTGTGGCAGGAATCAGGGGTCCAAGTCCCCAGGACTCTGAGCATGAAGGACTCTCGTCTAGAGTTCCAGAGCCCCCTGCCCCAGGTGATCACACGCCCGCTGGAAGCCTCACTGAGGTGCGACTCTCAGAAGTATTTTATTCAGAGTCAAGTTTAGAAGTCATTCTAAACCCCAAAGGAGATGAATTGTCCTAAAATAGGTGGGTTAAAGTAAGTTCTAAGCAGAGGGGCAGTGTTTGTGTGCCTGTCTTCTGTTTGGAAGTCCATC